AGATCTGTGGGCTGAAGCCATGCTGCTGACTTAAAGCTTGTCACCTCAGCAAGTAGACACTGAACAATGTCTTATTTTGAGTCAGATCTTCTCTCTGCTTTGCAGGATAGGCCGTTGCTTGTAAGTGTGTGTGTGCGTGGCATTGCAGTAATGGGAGAGTGGAAGATCTGAGAACTGCTTTGAGGATCCTTTGGGAAGGACAGTTGTCCATGTTAAAAGATACCTTTCCTGGGGCCCAGGACATACTTACTGGAACCATATATGCATTTCTGGGTGGGCTGGGTATACTAAGAGTCTGTCAGTGCACAAAAATAGAGTAGTAAATACTTTGTTTGTTTGTTTGGTTGTTTGTTTTTTTAATTACTAACCATATTGGAACTTTCTCAAATGAGCTGTGCCTTGGTTCTGACCACTCCAAGTGCAGAGTAACTAATCCCTAATGACTTGAGTGAGCATTTCAAGTGCTCCACTTAGTGTCTTTTAAGGACCAGGACTCTTAATTCTTACATCTGTGTTGTGGAGAGCAAATGATCACTTAATTCTTATCAAACCTGCTGTTTTAGTGCACTTCTTTTGGTAATTCTGCTGTAGTGCAAAAGTTTATGAAATATTCAACTTTTTTTTGCTGTTTGACATTACAAAAATGTCTGTGTCTTGCTTCCATCTCTGACTCCAGGGCTTAATGTACCAAGATGCATCAAGATGGGGGATAACGTTGCAGACTTACATACAGCTTACAATGTTGGAGCAGCATACCAGACCAATGGTAAATAAACTCACTTTTCTTTTAATTTAGAAAAAAAGTAGATGCAGTTATGAGTAATAAATATTTTTAAACTTGTATGCAAAAGTTAAGATGCTGTTTATGTTCTTTGTTCCTGCAGTGAGTATGAATTTTTATAGTGCAAAGACATTGTTGATACGCTCAACATGTGCTCCAGGGGTAAAACATCTGCCTCCTAGTTGCTCAGAACTTTTACTTCCCCAAACTAATACTGCTTTTTTTACACCTCCCTTATGAGCTAGACTTGCACAAATCTCTTCATCACCACATATCAGTGATTTGTCTGTAATTGGTGTCTATATAAATTTAGCTATTTCAAATCTTTGGCAAACATTAAGTAATCTTAAAGATAGTATTTGTTCTACTGCTGCATGCTGTCTAGCACAGATTTAGCCACTGCATCTTGTATTTATCCAAAATACTTCCCCTAGAATTTTCTATAGCTTTTTTCCAGATGGTTTTCATCTTTTTTTCCTTGTAATTTTTCTGTATTAGTTCACACTCTCTACTTTTTTATCAAGATCTGTTTATTTCTCTTTCCTTCAAACACCTTTTGTTACACTCTGTGCTAAGTCTTCCCTTCCCTGATTACAAGATCTGATCTTAGGTGCATTGCTTACATCTTAATGATTGTTCTTGCATTATATTTTCTGAGTTTATGTCAGGGCAAACTTTCAGAAGTACCACATATGATAGTGATACTGTATGTATAATCATTAGCTTTTTGGAAGAGGTGTTTTTCCAAGATAAATAAGTCTTACTCTGTTGCATACAAAGTTCATTAAAAAATTCCTGAGGATTGCCCTGCATTTGCATCTGAGCTTTGCTGTCATTTGCCATTTGAGCCTTGCTGGAGCAATTGTGTTTTCTGTGGTCATTAACATGCAGAATACCTGGTTGGAAAGAGCTCTGCCAGAGTTGCCTTCCTCTGCAGGGGCCAGAGACTGTCAGAGAATCTCTCTTTTCCAAAATGAGTGCCGTTTGAACATGTGCAAGACTGGCTAAGGCAGCAGTACTTTCTGGCAGTTGCAATGGCAGCAATTCAGGCAGCAGTGCTTCCTGGTGCTCTGCAGCTGCCAAGTGGATTGCTGCTTTTTTGTCCCCCTAGTTCACTTCAGCTGCTCGGTTGAATTCTTCTGCAGTTACCTTAGAAACTTGTACATGATTAACAAATCAGTTATGTAGGTGTTTAATAATGCAGTGACCATAAGTAGCACTGAGAGTGCTTGTTTTTTGTGGTTCTCACCCTCCCAGTAAATCTTTTTATCACAAGACCTGGAAGAACTGAAAATGTTAGGTATTTCATAATGTAAAGGACATGATGTGCAATATGAGCTTGAAAAGAAACAAACATGCTGAAAAATGTAAACTAGTTGGTGACTGTCAAGTTTTATTTTGTAGATTTCCCCTGTAAGAATGATGGAGCGATCAATTCACAGTGCAAAATACATTTTTGTAGAAAATTTGTATCGAAGGTATGGTATATGCTTTTCTATTTTACTTTCTTGGCTTAATTAGATAAGAAAAAAAATTGCTTGATGATTTCTTTGGTAATTTGCATCTAAGTTGTCTGTGAAATCTGTGAGTTCTGTGTTGGAGTGGCAGTGTGTTTGGTACAGGACATGGTGCCCACTGGTGGAATAAAACTTGTAGGACATGGCCCAGATGCGAGCCTTTTTCAGAAGTGCTCTGGTCTATTTAGAGCATCTTATTATTTAGAACACCATTTACTGAAGTTACCTGCTCTCCAGCTGAATACAAGAGTCTCGCTTAAATCAAAACAACTACATACTGAACAGGTCAAAAACCATGAGGATATAAAGAATAACATTGTAGGAGGGAGAGAACTAGATAGTGTTAGAGAATTAGATAGTGTTAGAGAACTAGATAGTGTTACCCAGCCTAGCACCCAGGACTGGTATTTCTTGCACGCAGGAACTCGAGTGACAAGTGTTCCAGCCCTCATGTGCTATTGCTCAGAATCAGGATTCACAGGATCAGAATAGCCTGAAGACCTTGGTAGGCTCGTGAGTAAAGAAAGAACAAGAGTTGTTTGTCTCTAAATGTCACTTTCTGAATCAGGTCCCCACCCCCAGGTGTGCTTGGGCCAGAGGTAGAGCAACTGGGCCTAACCCAGGTTATTTTGTTCCGGGGGATACGATTGTGGCCCCAGGTAGAGGAAGCGTTTATTACCTGGCCGATGTATAACTCACCCATCTCATACTAACTAAAGTAACGCAGTACTCACTGCTGGTGGTTTAGTTTGTTTGTTTTGTTTAGAATGCTGAGCTTATATTGAGCAGTGTATGTAAAAGATGGTTTTATTGGATTATTTTAATGGTCTTAAGGGACAAAACCAGTTTCTTGCTTGTCTGCAGGCAGAATGGCTGCATGCCACAAGATGGCATCCATGCTACATGAGCTCCTAGTCTGTTACTAGAGCTGCTTTGAAAGTGGAGAGGCACAGTAAGATGTGAGGCAAACAGAAAGAGACATTATTTATCCCAGTCTGTATGCAGTGGAAATGTACTGGAATGTCTTTCTCGTTTTTAATTACTGACATTTTTTTTTCCATTGTTGACAAAGTGCTCCAAAGACTGAGAACTTTGTGGCTAAGTCTGCCTGTGTCAACTCTATGCATTAATTTTGTAATAACATTTAAGGGCATCTAAGATGTTTCATGGCTTCAGCACTTCTTAATGTTGGACAGAAGGCATTTGCTTTGTTGTGTTACAGCAAGCTAGAAGCCAGCTGATGCTACCGATAGCAAACCGAAATATGATACAAGGGTGTGTAAAAGGATTATAAATAAAACAAGGAGAAAATTGGGCTACTTGAAAATAGCCATTTTGAGTCTCATTAAAAAAAAAAAAGTAAATCTGTCCTCCCTCATATCCCATCTGCAGTGGTGGTCAAAAGTACTTGAAAAGAGTGTAAGAACAGGGTAAGCATTTATAATTTCTGAGTATATCCAGTAGTGTATAGGACAGGGACCGTAACAGTTTAGGGACTTCCTCATTCAGCAGTGTTTTCTCTGTATTCAGTAACCCACAGGGAATTTCTTGTCCATGAGCCTGTCCAGTTTCCCCTTAAGCTCATGTAAACCTTTATTTTCCAGGATGTCCTATGGCAAGCAGTTCTACAGCTTTACTCCATGTTTTCTGATCACTGCCCTGTCCCTACGTGACGTAGTTCTTTAAAGATCATCTAAACTTGTCTCAAAAATTAATGCTCACTTCTGTGTACAGGAAAGAAAACTGCATATAAGAAAAGACAGGATGAGAGGGGAGTGTGGACATAGTGGTAATCACAGCTACAGTGGAAACAAAAGCCACTTCAGGGTTCTGAAAGCACATGAGATCTCACACTGGGAGAAAATATTGTAACGCAGAGGCAGCACCCCTGTGACTTGAAACAAGTACTGTAGAGCCCATGTGAGAGGGTGGGGAAAGTCATCTTAGTAACTGCAGGTTTGTTCATCTGCCTCAGTATTTAGCACAAGTTCAGAACAAATGATGAAGGAAATAAAAAAATTAAAGCTTTGTGCAAAAGTGTTGTGTCAGTGACCAACACCACATCATGTTAGACTAATCCAGTGACTGTGTTTTGTACCATTTCCCCCCCACCCCCTAAGGAGCAATGGGTGTGAGCTGGAACACAGGAGGTTCCGCTTAAACTTGAGAAAAAACTACTTTACAGTGAGGGTGACAGAGCCCTGGGACAGGCTGCCCAGGGAGGGTGTGGAGTCTCCTTCTCTGGAGACATTCAAGACCCGCCTGGACGCCTTCCTGTGTAATTTCGTTTAGGTTCCTGCTCTGGCAGGGGGGTTGGACTGGATGATCTTTCGAGGTCCCTTCCAATCCCCAACATTCTGTGTGATTCTGCGTGATTCGCATCAGTCTGAACTGAAGTTCCGTATTTATCAAGGAGGTTTGGGGAGACTTTTGTGAATTATTATTCATAAGTGCAGAAGCTGGTGTTGTGATAGGAAATCCCATTGAAGGGAGATACCAAAAGGGGATTTATCAGGCAGGAAAGAGGTTACTCATGTTAGATCAGCCTTTGGATTGATGCTTTGGTACAAAGGGTGAGAGTATGCTAATAAATTCTGTCATTCAGTTGAACTGACAAGAGCAATTTCAACTATAAGATGAAAGATTGTAAGTTGAAAAGCAGAAAGAAAAAAATTTATATATTTATAGAAAAAGAAAATTTGATCACAAAGTAACTCTAATATTGTATAGCCCAGAGAAGAGTAAATGTGACTCTTGGAAGTATTTGGCAAAGGGCTTCCAGGAGGGAGATGGAAATATTGGTGCTTTTGTACACAGCTTTTATGAGAGATTTTCAGCATTACTTTTTACACTCCTAACTGCTTATTCATGATCTATGAAGTAAAACTGAAACAGGTGTGAAGCTGAGATACTGGCATGATCAAAAGAATGGAAAGCCTGTTTAAAGAGACAAAAACAGGTTGACATTTGTATGGAAAAGTTGGGAGAATATATTGTCACCTATGGGCATAAGGTGTCACACTGGGAGCAAACACAAAAAATGGGAGTTGTTGAAATTGGAAGATGATAACAACAAAATAATAATTAGATACAAAAAGGCTGTGGCTACATTAAGGGATAAAAATTAGAAGACCTTTTTTAGCTATCAGGGGAACAAGGACAAAATACAAACTTTACAGTCGATACTTTTATGCAGAAGGATAATAGTGCCCCGTGGCAGGGAAAAGGCCTTACAGCTTAAAACGGTTGCTTCCCATGCTGTGGGTTTTTTTGTTCAACTGCTGCATGTAAATTTAGAAAACCATTCTGTAACTAAACAGATTTTGCAAAAGAAAATGCTTTTGTATTCTTCCAGAGGCTTTTTCTTTCCTTGTTACTCTTTCCTAGAAGGAATCTCCAGTTTCTGTAGGGGAGTGATCCTAATTCTTGTGCAGGTTAGTAAACATGTGAAAGTCATGCAGACAACACAGGAGAGGGTGCCCACTGTAGCAACTGAATTATACCTGTCTGATGGAAGGTCTGGAAACCAAAGCTGACCTGACATATCTTTAAATTTTGCTGAAAATGTTACTGACAAACCCCTCAGGCTCAAGCTATTCAATAGATGTCTTCAGCAAAGGGACTGTTAAATAGCTGTATAGAAGGTATTTTCCCATCAATAGTATGTAGAAATGAAATAGAACTTTTTTTATTCAAAACAAGACTGGGAGTGAATGGGGTAAGCGTGTTGCTGTCTTTTCTGTAGGAGAAGGTATTGCTTAGGGTCCCAGTCTTAAAGATGGAGAAGAATCCCTTGTGATCTCTAGTCTACACAAGCTCTTCTCCTTTAGAGAGTGATTAGTTGAAGCAAGGGATGAAGAGCTGTGGGGATGTCAGGAATACCAGTGTCACTCAGTATGTGTGTTTTGGCTTTGCAGGCTTTTTCCCAGAGAGAGAAATAGAGTAAGATTTACGACGATGATGGAAGGCTTAAATTGTGAGCAATTGCTGTGAGCTTCTCCGGCATGCACAGATATGCATGACTGTCCAAGTTCTTACTGTGGTTGCACATCTGAGTTTAGCACTGAAAGACACGCTCATGTTAGGTGTAAAACTGTAGAAGAATTTTAAATGTGTGCACGTGAGTATGCATGGTATGTTACTAGCAATGCCCATTTGAATCCATAGTTATTTATGATAGAAAGCTCGTTTCTGTGGTCTTTACTTGGTAGGGATCAAATGGCAGCAAGCTCTGGAGATGAAAACACCATTTAGTGCCTTTTACGGCACGTATGCTGACTGATACCTTAGAAGAATAGCAGTGAACTGTGTTATCCCATTTCTTGGGTGCTTTGTGAGTCAAGATATTCAGCTGGATGGCAGATAGAGAGGAGGAGGAATACTGGTTTTGCTTTCTTGCATACTTAACTGGAAATATCTTTCTGGATTATCTTTATTCATTTTTGCCAGTGATCAAACCATGTTGCCAGGAGAATGGTTGAGAAATCTGTGGATTCTTTTTCTTCAGTACTGTTTAAAATGTTGCAACTAGTCTTAGTGATTCACCTGGAGAGGGCAGGAGCCTCTCAGCCCTGTCTCTTTGTTATATTTCTATTGCAGAGGCCTTTAGGAAAGAGCGTGGAGTATGTGTTACTGTCAGCAGTTTTGAAAACAGAATAATGTAAAACTAGCAATACTTGACTGTTTAGGAATATGGTAATAAGTGAAAATTCTGATACTAGTAAAACATAATATGTGATTGTTCATATGTCATCTGTAAACTCTTTTTGCATGAGTTGTTTGATAATTTATTATTCTTACTGAGTTACTGAGATAACGTTGGGACAGTTGTCTCCCATGTTGTCTATGTTCTCTGAATAGAGGGTTCAAATCAAGCATGTTGAATATTTCAGTACTCTTTCCACAAATACTTCTTACAGTGGGAGTAAATTTTCTTTACAGTGTGTCATTATTTTCTCACTGCTCTTTACTATGGCTTCTGTAATGAACTGACAGTGCTGCTCAGTAAATCAAGCCTTTCTGGTGACAGGCACTGCAGTCGTTCACATATATTTGAAAAGATCCTGATATAAAGAACTTGAGCAATAAATACCATTGACATTAATTTGTTGTTACTGTACACATGTCAATGTGGTAATGTTTTTCTTTGTAGTCACCAAGTAATTATTTCTTAACTGTAGTGGAAAAAATAATTAATATTTGTAACTGTTAATAATAGGAACTTTGTGGTAGCAAGTACTTTTTTTTTTTAATCATTTGGTGTTTCTATTATATAAACAATGCTTTGTGAGGCCTTGAATTTGGGTGGGCGTAATATTGGTCTTGTTTTCATTTCACATATGCTGGAGTAAATTGAGAGTAATTTTAGTCAGATGAAAAAAATACGAGTTTAGAATTGATCTGTGCATGCTGTTCATTGATGACTTTTATGTTTATTCAGCGGAAAAATGCCAGAGGTGGATTATGTTGTCCTAACTGAATGGTTTGACTGGATCCAGAACAACACTGATGTTTCGGTTGATTTGATAGGTAAAATTTGATGATATCTGGAGGGGCATGTTTGTGGGTGGGATTCCTTACTGGGAGAAAAAAATAATTCTTGTTTCTTGGGTCATAAATACTCACATTATTCAATATGATAGTGGTTGCAATGTGTTGTGTCAGACAGCGGGAAGTTGTGAATGGTTCATGGATTGATTAACAGTAACGCCAAAGGGGAGGTTCAGGGGTGGTACCCAAGTCAGGATTCTTTCCTTCTACAGTTTGTGAAGTAAGTTTCTTCTTTGCTTTTAAAGCTGATCCTTGAACATAACTATTATAATTTTTGTTATGGCAGTTTATCTGCAGACTTCTCCTGAAGTTTGTTATGAGAGGTTAAAGAGAAGATGCAGAGAAGAGGAAAAGATCATTCCTCTGGTAAGGAGTTTTTTCAATGTATCTGGTTACAATGAGCTTTAAAAACATAATGATTCCAATGTAAATACTAAGATCAAGCAGCAGTTTCCATTGCAAACTAAAACTTCAGTATTTCATTTTTCTTTATTTTATAAAAATGATCTGTCATGCGCACTGACTTTCCCCAGTGTCCTATTTTAGTAATCAGTGTAGTAGTCGGCTAATCAACTGTTAATCTTCTCCAAGATGTAAAAAGGCAATTGCTTTTATACCATTCAGTGGTATAAAAGCACCCAGTTGAAGCACCTGTGCATGCAGGTGCTGAAGATTTATGTGGGCACTTTCTGTTGTCTGCTATTACCAGGAAGTTTATGCATGAAAAGTGTCTCTGCTTGTGTCTGAAAACAAGCAACTTCATGAGAATTGTTAGCGCGGGAATCTGCTTAAAAATAAACTGTAGTAATCGAATGATCACTTTCTGCGTCACAGTTTACAGAATGGCCCTCCATTAAACAAGTTTCCTCCTAAAGAAAGCCTAACTATAAATAAATATAGTTACAGAAGACATACTGTATAATACAGAAGTATCTCTTGTGTTGGGTAGTTCAGTAGAAGCAATTGTCAGTTGAAGATACACGCAAAGAGCTAAATTTTGGGCCATGTGAAATTTTGCCTTGGAGAATAAATCCTCACTGTAGTGGATCTGAAGAGACATTGTGTTACTTTGCAGCTCTACTGAGGGGTGGGGAGCAGTTATGAATGAAAAATGTTAAGTGGTCTCCATGAAAAAATCCTAATAGTGGATGGACAGGCAGAAATGCTTTTAGAGGAAATTGAGTCAGAGTTAGGAGAAAGTGAACTGGGAACTTTAGGAAAATGTATTGACACAGAAAGTGCCTTCAATACATATTATTTGCAGTCTTGCCCTTTTTGTTCTTACTTCTCTTTGTTGTATTTTTCTCTGTAAAAACTTGATACAGCTTATACCCACAGGAGTGAAAGGTGGTTCTTGATCTTAAAAGAAACAGAGAGCCCTGTGCTCCTGTAAGCTCTGTGTCTTTGAGGTTCTTCATGGAGTAAAACCTTATACTGGGAATTAATTTTTCTGTGCTTTTTATTTTTGTTAGTGGAAATATCTGATGCTGCTTTTTATATGTAGTTCTTAACTACTTACCACATAGATAAAAATTGTAATGTCTGTTTCATCCCTGGACATATGTGTTAATTTGAATGCCTCTTTTGTAGGAGTATTTAGAAGCTATTCATCAGCTCTATGAAGAGTGGCTCATTAAACATACACTGTTTAAAGTTTCCTGCCCAGTGCTTGTGAGTATTGTTTTAGTTATAACCAATTAAGCATATGGAGGATTGTACTCTTCAAATATTAACAGTGTTATTTAATGGGAAAAGTAAATAAATCTGCTTTTCTAATAAACTTTGGAGAAGGAAAACCTCATAAAAATGTTTACAGCTATCCATAGTGTATAGTGTAAAAGTCTGGTCTTCCATCTCTTTGGTGGAATTTGAGAGTCTGTTCCCTGTGATTGTTTGCAGGATCAGAGATGTTGCTGTTCAATGAATGCCAAATTCTGAACAGAAAGCTGATGGGACATATCTCTAGGAGTGTATCTGTTTGGCTTCAGCACTACTCCTATTTTGCCAAAAAGCAAACATGTTTTATGGTGTCAACTATTTCTAATGTTCATATTCTTCTTTTCAAGGTTATTGGAGCTGACCATGACATGCAGAAAATGGTAGAAAAGTACGAAGAAAACCGGGACCAAATACTAAACCCATATAATATGCAACACCATTTATAGAAATATACGGTTGTTGTATTTTAAAAAACATGTTTATGAAGTCTGATTTGGGGGAAATGTTGAGTATTTTTAATATTTGTAAATATAATGTTTTTTGCTTTTGAATTATGCTTTGTAGAAGGTTGTGGACTTACTGCTATGAAATGTTCAGGTAAAAGTCATAAATAGAATATAAGCCAAGTCCCTTTCATGTTTTTAGGTTCTTCATCAGCTTTACAGTGTCAATTCAGTTCAGCTAAAATACAGCTATTTCTCCCGTTTCCCATATCACTGCTGCTTCCTGTAAGTAACCCAAGTTTCTTCTTTTTTTTTTCCCCATATACAACCCTATTTTTTTAATTTGAAAGAAGTAGTTCCATACAAGAGGAGGGATGTCCTTTTTTTATTATTAGAGGAAGCAAATGAAGTGCATGAAGTTAACGTGGCTTTGTTAAATAGGTCTTCAGAGGCTGAAATAGGGGGTCTTGCTCTAATCCTACCTACACTAGTGCCATTTCATTGAATTTGGTAAGTTTCTTCTGATTTACATGAAATCACAATATAGCCATAGTTCTGAAGATAACTATCCACTAGTATAGTCCCACTGAATTCAGTGGCAAAAAAAGAACAAAACAGTTTTCATAAGTGATTGCAGAATGGCTCAGAGGCTTTTTTTTTTTAAGGTAGGTTTTTAAAAGGGCTTATTTCTCTCTACTGTTTGTGAAATCAGTGGCCCTGCTAAGGCTGAGCTGGGGACTAGTGAAAATACAGAGTGCACAGAACTGTATCTGTTGTTCCTTTCAAACGGTTATAAAAAAACCCCTAGAATTAATTATTTCTTAACTATTTTGTATTCTTCAATTGTACTTTTTAATAAGAAAAATACAGATGGTTCTTTGGGTTTATATCTTGATCACTTTATCATGACTTACAGGTACTTGGAGAGTAGAGGAAAACTCTGGGGGTTTCATTCTTGTACTTGTTAGCTAAAGTGTTGAGTTGCCCGTAATTTCTGCTTTACTCTCTGTGTGTTGTCTTCAAGATAAGCCTTTTAGTGCAGCAGTTCTGACTGGTTTCAATTTATTTTTTCTGTTTAATTTGAAGGGAATGATTCCTGATGTAGAGTATGTAATTTTTTTTTTTTCTGTAATAGTTTTGGTTGGTTTAATTGGAGCAAGCAAGGCAAACAGTGCTTTAAAACACACTTGTATTAATATAGCTGAGCATCTGTCATAGCTTTGTAGAGAATGCTCCTGAAAATGGCTGATGTCCAAGGCTTCAGCTAGTACTTTGATCACTTATTACAGACATTTGTCTGTTAACTTGCTGGAGGATTTCAGTTCCTTGGCTTTTCCAAGTTCTACTGTTGTTTTGAACAATAACTAATGGTATTGCTTCTGGAGATCATTTTACAGCTTTTATTTTGTAATTTTGTGGTAGCTGGTTTTGTGGTGTGCCTAAAAATGATTGTGTTGAAATGACTACACCGTTTTCCAAGTCAGGAAATGCAGTTAGTTTCTTGTTATTTCCATCTGGTGGGATATATATATTTTTTTTTTTCCAAATCAGTACAACTTAATAATGATGAGTGCACTGAGAGAGCATTTCCTAGTGAAGTACTAAAGCTTGTGAGCCCAGTATTGCCCTTGAATTGTTCTGTTGTACATCTTTAGAATTCTCGCTTAAAAATATATTTGTGTGTTAAGTAATTATTTTACTTACTGAAGCTTATTTGTAGGGGGATAGTGGCCATTCTTGAAACCTTCTATTAAACTTTCAAACTTTTTTCTTCTGTAAGAGACCAAAAGAACTATTTATTTGGAAAGAGTTCTATAAATTTGAAGTTCAGTCATTTGGTGTTTATTTTTGATTCTAATTTCATTATGGTTTGTAGAAGCCAAGGATGTATATTTTGCACACAGTTCAGAAAAGATTTCCACTGTTACCTTTCAGCTTTTGAAATTTATGCTTTTTGGTCAGATTCTCCCCCCCACACTCCCCTCTTTATTCTATCAAAACCGTAGTTTGGATGGAGGTTGTTGATATTTGTAATTATAATGTAATATAAAGGAATCATTTATATAACTTATTTATTAAAAATTACAGATGCAATGGCTACAGAGAGCATGTTTATTTCATGTATAGATTTTAATATACAGGAAGGTTGGGATATTTAATGGAAACTGGGAACAAAACCAAACAAGTTGCTTGTTACGTGTCATAAATGTAAAATGTTTGCAATCTGCTCTAGATGTGTAGATAAAAATACTGCAGTGATAATAAATAGCTGGTTTTAAGCCTGGAGTTTATTTGCTTTTGTTTCTTGAAATCTCTCAAGTTGATGAGGGGAAGAAAAAGAGGGCAATCAGCATTAGTCTGATAGATATTTTGTTTCTTTTATGACTAAGAAGCAGTGATTGGGTAGCAAGTTGCAAAATACTGTAAAAGTACTCTGGTTGCTGTAGGCAGATTGAACCTCAGCACCAGTGGAATGGATAATATAAACAATGGATAATATAAACAATTTGGTCTATAAGTTGGATGTAGCCTATACTTGTAGATTGAACCATACCTAATTTTTATTTTTTATTTTTTAATGCATTGTGGCTATTCTGGAGTATACTGTAGGAATACAGGAGTTGAGTAAAAACTGTGGGTTTTAATTACTTTTGTCACAATGAGTTACACATCTAAACTGCAATAAGTGTGAAAAGTTACCTCCTTCTGTATTGCCTTTATTACACATGTAGTCTGAATGGATGATGTCTCCAGACTTTACTTTGTCCAGGTCAAGGTGTCTTAGAGAATCTATAACATCCAAGAGCAGCATATAAACTGATTTGTAGTAAGACAGAGAGACTGGCAAAAATTAAATAGTTGCATTCTCTCAGCCTGGCCTGTTGTGTACTTTCTTCTAGCATGGGAAGCATGTTTAGCATGTTCCTTGTTTGATTAAGTATTTCAGAAGTGATTGTCCAAAACTGTAAGTCTTAAAAAACCTTGAAAATTGTTTTCACCAGTGTACTTAGCACACAAAACTGCTGCCAACACCAGGAAATAATCCAGCATCTTTCTTCAGTGCACTTCCTCCTGCAGAGACGGTAGGAAGTGCTGGGTATTCTGCCATCACTTGTCATTAAAAGATTCAGACCCCAAGCTCTCTCATACCTCTCCTGAATAACAGCTCTCCTAGCAAGTAACTGTCCTGTTTCAGGACTTGGAGAATCCAGAAATTCCTGTAGTGTATGAAGGTTTAAGTAAACACTGTGCATTTCTAAAGCAGGATAAAGTCAGGTACCTGAGAATTGTGGTGGCTTCTTCCCCACATCCAGAGGCTCAGTAAGGGGAGTGACAGAATAGAGGAGCTCTGTTACCTGTCTCTTGCATATGTACTACTTGACTTTAAGTCAGAAGGCTTTGAGTTGAATCCTCTGCTCAACCCTAGAGCCCTCTGTCTGGTAACAGTGATCCATTCCTCCCCTGTGTACATCACAAAAAGTATTGAGCTGTTGACTTCCACTGTGAGTACGCTGCTCTGCAGATGTCACTATATTCCATCCCAATCCTGATTTCAGTTTTTTACTATGTAATGCTGTGAAAGGGAGCCTTGTGGGATTTAATCTGCTATCTCACTTAAGAGAGCTGTGCCAGTTAATTTCCAGTGAGTGGGATTTTTAGCTGTGGTGGTGATTTACTGGTGGTTATTCCCCCAGTGATTAAGTACAAGTAAGGTAAAAAATGATAAAGCAGTGTTTCAGAAACTGTCTTTCTGTAGTGAGACAGCTCTGAACAATGATGATCTTCCTCAGTGCTCTGCAAACCCTTGCCAGTCCCTCTCAGGTATGCTTTGCTTGTGTCTCAGGAAATTGTTTTTAAGACCGTTGTTTATAATTCTGAAGCAAACTAACCCTTGCCAGTCCCTCTCAGGTATGCTTTGTTTGTGTCTCAGGAAACTGTTGTTTTTTTAAGAGTGTTGTTTATAATTCTGAAGCAAACAGTAATTTTTAAAATTAATTTCGTGTTTGCATGCTTTCCAGTTCTGTGGGGTTTTTTGTTTGTTTGTTTGCTTGGGGTTTTTTTGGTCTTAACATTGAAATTTGGTTTTCATTCTTGGCTTTAGGAACAACTAAGTTTGTTCTAAAACCAAGCTATGCTTCTTGAGTACCTTAACCTTCTTGAGGGTATATGTGTGATATGAATGCTAAGAGGGGGAAAACAACTATTGTAAGAGACCAAACAGGGAGAGGCTGTGCAAGTGAGTTATCACCCAGTTACCAGGTCTGCTGCCTGCACTTGTGTCTGTACTGATCAAAAGAGAATTTCTCTAATCCAAGGCTTGGGAGAGCTGAGCCATTCAAAGTGGTTGTGTGTAGCATATAAATTTCGAAACAGAATTGGCCTTATGTCCCTATGATGGAAAGACATCCAATCAGTCAGTAAATCCCCATTCAATTCATAGACAATCAGGACCAGCTGTAGCACAATTAAAGCTGACATCTCACCAGGGGATAGACATGCATTTTACAAACACAAACCATCTCCTTTTAGAAAGGGGCCCAGGCAGCCCTCTTGCTGGCTAGTGCTGCTTGAGTGGTTGCTCTTACTTAAGTTAATTAGTCAAGGAGAGGTGCAGTTACTACCACCAGGGGCAGGAGGGCACTAGCAGATGGGTCACAAATCTTACTGTCTCTTTTGTCTGTCCCTCTTCTCAGGTCTGACTGTAGTTACAATTTAGGATTTTAGACCCGGTTCTGCCTTGTTTATGTGGAAGCAGTTGCACAAATCCTGGCTCTTCAAAAGCATCTTTAACCACAGAGCAGTTGTCTCTTGAGACCCCATAAATTTGCAAATACAGAAGTAGTTTATAGTACAAAACCTGAAACCTCTACCATTTGTACAGGAAGAGAAGTTAAAGGTGTTGCAGGAATGACAAACTCACATGAAAATACCCAGAAGACTAAGAGCATAGTAGCTCTCCCTACAAAGGCAGACAGAACTCTTACAAGTCCTGGCCAACCTGT